GCTGGGACTTGGGTAGGAATTGAACAGAACGAACGAGCCCGATCCAGAAAGATCCATCGTTCCCTTGCTCTCTGACAGCATGGATGAAGATCTCCAGATGGGGACAAGAGAGAGAATTTCCACATGGCTCCATCCTCTGGCTCACACAAAGTTTGACTTTAAAACGTTAACCCAGTTCCATGTGCTTTATGAGCCAGGTGAGAAAATTATTTTCACTGATTTTTGCTCTAAACCCATTTTTGACCTCAAATGGCTAAAATGTGTAATTACCTACTGCAGTCACCAGGGTTAACTACAATTTCTTTTAGGCCATTTCTAAAATCTCAGATGCCTCCTTGAAGGGAAAATGGGTCACATGTTCATGGAAATGTATTGCTGACTCTGTAAGGGCTTTTCCAAAAGAGAGGTTCAAAGATGTTTTGAGCAGCTGTGATATTGTAGGGAAAGCACATAACAGCCATGGTAACTGCACTAGACAACAATATTCATTTCAGATGTCTATGTCTATGTTTAGGCATGTTGGTTCTGTCCTTTGGATCTCATTTGTATGTTCTGCAAACAGACTCGAATCATGCTCTTTCCAAGAGTAAATTGGTACCCTTAAATCATCAAAATCAATCAAACAAAGAATTATTCCAGAACCCCGCGTTAGACACATCCAAAGTACTCAGGACTCTTTCTCTGGGTTTTTAAAATTATGTAAAAGCAACTTAGTTGAACTCTACGAAGGAGGAAAACTACCTAGCAAGCCAAGTTTTTTTTCTTTCTTTCTTTTCTCCCCAGGGATAGGAATCAAATCCAGGGAAGCCAAGCCCTCCCCACTGTGTCACCTCCGAGCCCTCCAAATTTCAGAACAGTGCCTTTTAAAAAGTCTCTTACTGCTACCCTAAAAGTCATGCTTCCAGGTTTTTTTCCACCATTCCTTAGAAAATTCTCTCTGGTCACCTCATTCACTCCCATGATTCACTGCGTTTAATGCAAGAGCATTTAACAAGACTTACGTTATTTATTTATGAATGTGTGCATTTATTGGCTGCTCATTTGTTTTGCTGGGGATTGAACTCAAAGTCTTTGCACTGAGCTACAGCCCCAGCCCGTCTTCGGTCTGAGGAGGTTTGGTTTGGGTGTGTATGTATGTGTGTGTTGTGTTTCGTTTGTTTGATTGGTTGGTTGGTTTTTGTTTTTGAGGCAGGATCTCAACAAGACACTGAGTTGCCCAGGCTGAGCTCCATGTTCTGCTCTTCCTGCCCCAGCCTCCCATGGTGCTGGGTTTACAGCCCTATGCCACCACACCTGGCTTTCCACACAGTCTTTTATTGATAGTAACTGTAGCAACAGCGACTCACCTGTGCTATCACTGCAAAAGCAGCCACCTGACCTCTATTTCGTATTCTGATGACAAAGGCTAAGGCAGGCTGCACGGAGCCCAGGTATCTGTGAGTTCTACAGGACATTCCAGGCTGGAGTGGTGGGGAAAGGGCTGGGGGAGGGGCAGGCCAGAAATCACAGGTGTAGATTCACAGGGAAAAAAATCCAAGAGGAAATGAAAGAAACTTGGGGATTCAAAGAAAACACAGAGATACTACCTCGACACAGAATGCATCAGCAGGTGGCTATTCCAGGATGAGAGGCCACCTCCGAGAAGGACATGTGATAACGGGTGGCGGAGGTGGAGGGACAGGACAAGGGAGCCAATGCTACTCCTGCGAAGTTCTTAAACAGCAGTCACTGCAGGCAATGGGACAGCCTGATGCTGCTGACTCACTGAGGCTGATGAACCCATATGTCTGTTTAAAGGACTAAACGCTGACAGGACACTTGCTTCCGAACCTGACTGTATGAGTGACTGCCGGTCTCTGATGCAAGCGCGGATCTCCATCACTAACCCAAATGCTCCTGTTTATGGGTCACGAAGTTTCATCTGCTGGCATCACTTGAGCCAAATCTCTCCAATATCACTCCCCAGGGAAATTCCCACTTACACTGGGTGTTTGAGACAGCTACAGACGTATGCAATTCCCGTGGTCTCCCAGGACAAAGGTGCTTGGCCCAAGAGGCAACTGCAGCTGACACACAAAATGTTCCTTTCTACAGGCAGGACATCATGACAGGAAGCTTTTGGTTTTTATTTCTCCTGCCACTTGGTTTTGGTGAAAATATACCTCCTTTTTGTCTCCCTGCCTGCTTAAAAATGACAATTTTGTGCCCCTGGAGGATCATACTTCTGAACTTCTGAACTCAATTAGGCATCCACATTGTAACCAAGTCTCCTTAGCAAGAAGCCCAAGTCCAATTTCCAGGCCAGCCCACGAGCAGGCACAGCAATCACGCCCAGAGCTCCTAGCCCCGATCCCAGACCTGGCCACCCTACCACATGAAGCCACTCAACGTCCGCCAGCCCTGTGACCTGTGCCAGGTACCAAGCTTGGTGTGGGGAGAAGACAGGAATGAAAACAAGGCTGCTCCTGAGGACCAGCCGCTCTCAGAGGGGATGCACAGCCCTGCAGCTCTGACAGAATGTAGCAAGCACTATAAAAAGTGGTGTGGAGAGAGCTCGGGGTGAACAGAAGAGGACAGGGGCTTGGAAAATGGTAACAGCTTCCTGGAAGTTCACTCTTAAAAATAAAAAGCCACATCCGAGTAAAAACAGAATGTGACCATCCCTGGAACTTCTCCTGCTATGCACAACTAGGAAGTCTCCTATCCCAACATCAAGAGGAGTCACACGGGACACGGCCCGTGCTGCAGCATGGGTTTGTCGAGACTTGGTTCCACAGGTTTGTTATCAGTCTTGAAATCACCAAAGATATCATCGGGTAAAAGGACCTATTGCCTCCAACTCCTTATGGAAGCAGGCGGATAACTTCCATAAAAGCCAAAGCCAGTGAAGACTATAAATGGAAATACAACTCTGGCATGGAAAAGACCTCCTCTCCCACATGGGAAGGGAAATGACAACATTCTCCCTGCTTCCACCACAGGACTGGGCCATCCTCATGGGGACAAGTGGGGGCCAATGACTAAGACAGCGATTCCTGCTCCCAGGCTGCACCTCCACAGGCCCCTGGAAATCTGCCTGGTGGGATCAACTCAACTTAGATGATCACCACTGTGAGGTGATCATTTACACACTCCTGCACATTTCAGCAGGGCTGTTCTCCCAGAAGGAGAGCAGTTAACGGCACCCCAAAACTTGGAGAAACCCCTAAGTTCTATGCTGATTTTGATTAGGAATTCAGTAATCCAACCCACTTCTTAATTTAACCTATTTCTTAATCTTGGGCAAAGATCAGATCTTTGAGGAAATAACTGTGGATTTCAGACTGTGCTCCCATCCATACCTGAGCTATGGGGACCAATGTTCTTTGCAGCAAATTACTAACCGAGTCAGAAGATGAAGAAAACCCTACAACTTCACTTTATTACTGATCTTTCCCAAACAAAGGAAGCTCGCCACTGTCTTCACGCGTTGGCTCTCAAGTCACTCGTTAGCAGCTGTGATCTCCTGCAACTTTCCCTGAGTACATAAGGCCACAAATGATTCTACCTGTTGAAAACCACTTTCTTTATTATTCCAAATACCAATGGATGCGAAGCACTCCCAGGCAGTAAAAGCACAGGTGTGTAAGAGGTAAAGACAAATCATGGAAGGAGGGTCTTCAGATGAGGCCAGGGTGAGATTTAGAGGCCAAGTGTCCAGTGTAGACACCACACAGTGGTGTCTTTCCTGCCTTAACAGAAACACGACACAATGCATCCAGTTATCACTGTAGCTGACCTACAGCTGCTTGTCCAAATGTATTCCAGTATTGCTGTATTAGCAAATAAGTGAATTTAAGTGAACTCGTACAAATAGAAAGAGAGGATAAAATGATTTTTCACATACCACTTTCTGCCGTCTGTTTTTCTCAGCTATGTCCTAAGTGACATTTATTGGATATCTGCTACTTAATCTCTGCCTCCTCTCTTAGAACCAGATCTTCTTACAACTCTGGATAAAAGCGATAACTGCAGTTTTAAAGTTGCTGAGTATTTTTCAATTACAGGTCGGTATGAGGTGAACCTTCTAAATCACTATAAGCTGGGTGTGGTGGCACATGCCTGTAATCCTAACATTCTGGGAGGCTGAGATAGGAGGATTGAAAGTTCAAGGCCAGCTTAGCAACTGTCCTTTTAGGGAAAAATTGTCTCAAAAAAAATTTTTTTTCAAGGGCAGGAGATCTAGCTCAGTAGAAGGCCCTGGGTTCAATCTCTAGTGCCAGGAAAGAAAAAAAAGCCCATCACTATAAAACTAGGAATGACTATGTAGAGACAGACAAGATGATTAATAAAACCACAGTTCATGGGGAAGTTTAGGAACATTACACATACTTGTATATCCCTACATCAGATTTGCATTTACTGGCAGGTAAATCAGGTAAAGTGCTTCTTTTCATTAAGAACAGCCATGGACATTAAAGTTCAAAGCAGGAAACCCACATTCACATTGAAGCTGTGTTCTTTGGGTGCCCTTGGGGGTGGCGGCCCTGGGCTTCCCAAGCCTTGGTCACCTCATGCGTGCCACGAGGACGATGCCCCCCTGCCCTGGCTGCAGTGTGGACAGCGCGGGCCACTTCCCAGCGGGCTCCTGCTGCTCCCACAGCCTAACAGCTCCTTTCCCACAATCTCACTCTCCTCTTTCCCCTTCCCACAGATGTGCTTTGTTGGGAACCATTTCTTGAATGCGAAGCTCCATGTCTACACTCATGGAAAGTCTTCTCATTTGGTCCCGGTGCCAGCCAGTGTGTGGACACAATGCTCTCCCCCCGGAGGAACAGCCAGCAGCCTGCGTGGGCTCAGGCCCACGGTCTGTCCCCGTGGACACCTTTCCAGGGACAACTCAGAAACCTCTCACAGCTCAGCAATATCCTCAGTGCAGCCGCACAAGTCCAGTGGCTCCACAAACCCGTAGCAAGGGCGCGGCCAGAATGTGCCAGGCGAGGGAAATGAGCAGCCATTACCTCTTTCACACTGGGGTCCCGTGAAGCCATACGTGCAGGCGCAGCGATTGGGGGCCACGCACCTCCCTCCGTTGAGGCAGCCGCTTTCACAGACAGCTGTAAGACAAGCAGAGGGCAGAGCAGCTTCAGCAGAGAAGGGTGCTAATGACCCACCTGCAGTCCCAGGACCACAGTAAACACCTCCCTGCGCCTGATTCACACAGCCACCCTCCGGGAGACCCCAGCCTCCTCCTCATACTCTGCCTGGGCCTCTGACTCCAGCCCCAGCCACTGCCCTGCAGCTGCAGCCTCCCTGAGGACTGGACACTGCTCCCTGCTTCTCCTGTACCCCAGGCCTCAGGGACCTGGAAACACGGCCAAACCACGGCATTACACATGTGGGCCATGGGCTGGGACTGCACTCCAGGCCCAGCCAAGCCCGGCACCGTCTGCATCCACAGAGAAGTTACGGGAGCTTTGGGCCCAGCTTCCTCAGCTGTGAGAAGGCAGGATTCATGGCTTCCGACTCGGAAGAGCTGCTGTATTCAGAGTCCGAACACAAGGAGAGTTCTGCCCGCGCCTAGCGCGCCCGGTAAGTGTGAAGTGAGCCCACAGCAGATGCTACTGGCTGCTTCATTGTTATTTTACCACCTTGTGCCTGCTCTGCCTTGGAAGAAACTCTGTGTATACAAAGGCATTAAAACCAAGCCCATGGCTTCCTGTTTGACTCTATTTCCCTTCCCATCTCTTCCTCTTGCATTTCATCTCTAGCAACACAAAAGCACCTGCTACATCCCATGTTCCATGCTTTGTCCTGCTCCAGTGCTTTGGCTCACGTTGTGCCATCTGCCTGAAAGGCCCATACCCCATCATCTGATAGATGAACTCCGACCCATCCCTCAAGACCCAGCCCAAGGGTTGCCCACACTGGGGAGACTACCCTGCTGCTCTCCTCTATCCAGGCTGGGCTGCACAAAACTCAACCACTGTTCTTACCACACTGCAGGGTGGGGACCTTCCCTAAGTCAATATATATATTTTGGTTCATTATTTTCATCATGACAAAAATATGGCCAAAAATGCAGACAAAATGAATAACACCATTAAGGATTCATTAAACAGTGAAAGAACGCCACATAAAATGGAGATTTATGCAGCCATTAAATGTGTTTTTAAATCTTTAGCAACATGACTATACTTTTAATAAGATATTAACTGAAAAGTTATATAATCAGTAACTTATATACTCGTGTACCAAATATGCACTGAAAGTTTATAACAGTCTCTGGCATGATGGGCTTGTAGATTGTTTTATTTTTCATACTTTTGAACTTTTTCAAATTTCCTATAAGGTATATATGTTCATCATAGAGTAATAAAAATGAGCTTTTAAAAAGAAATTTTTGTCTTCTGCGAAGCCCAGCCACAGGCAGAGAGCAGCCATAATGAACAGTGGTTATGAATAAACCCCCAGCCTCAGCACCGGGGTAAGAGTGGAGGTGGCCGAATCAGGCATGGCACGCTGAGGAGACGCAGCCACGTTCATCGAGAGGATGCACAGGACCCGTGTCGGGAGAAAGGTGAGCCTGGGTTTGCAAATGTTTCACGGGAGATGCTTCCCGAAAGTCCAGGTGGAAGTTGTGCACAACAAGAAGTAGCCAACCATGAGCCAGAGAGGCAGCAGGAGAGCAGGGTGCTGGAGCGAAGTGAAGGGAAATGAACCAAGTAACTTACTACTGACATTCTGCACAGAAACTGGGGCTAAGTGTGTCCAGCAAGTGACCTGCTCTCCTGAGAGGGTCACCAGATGTCTGAAAATGCTGTGTCCCAGGCCACCAGAGAAAGCCCTCAGCAGCAATCTCCTTATTCTGCATGTCCCCTCACGAGTAACTTCCGTGTAGCCTCACGGTAGCCGTGGTTACTTACGCTGTCCGCAGTGCGTCCCTATGTATCCTTTCTGGCAGAGACAGTGGTCGTCGCTGCAGCTACCTCCATTCATGCAGCGGATGTTACAGTGTTGTACTTGAAGAAAAAAATGAAGACGGAGAATGACTCATTCTGTAATTTAAGTACAATTTAAGTACACAGACTGCAATAGTTCACAGGACTTGATGTGTCATTATTTGAAAATAAAATGATTTACAGGATTCGTATCTGCATGCAGAAATGATCTAATTGACAATGTGATCATTTGTATGCATAAAGTCATTTACAATGTAATCTAATTGTTTCTGTGGCATTTATTTTAACTGTGCCAAATGACTTCCCTCATTTAGCAAGGCTTACAATTCAATGTCATTTCTGTAATTTATACTAACAAGAACAAGAATGTAGTGCTGAGAGGAAACATACAAGACAAGATTATGATGGCAATAATTTTCCTGTGATTTACAGTCCCAACTAGGTGGCTAGGGAAAAAAAGCCAGAGTAAGACATTCCATGCCATTTTGTTAAAAGAAATATCAGAGGCAGAAAAGAGAAAAAGGGAAATACCTAAAAGGCATTTAATAGTAAGGCTGATGATGCGAGGATGGCTGAGCTGCTCACTCAAACAGTAACCTTAAACTAAATGACACCTGCAGTGTTTGAGACCCATTTGTCACATTTTCGCCTACAGAGGTATGCATTTCAAAGTGAGGGTACAAGGTTACAGACAGCCTCAGACTGAGCTGCTGAGACAATGGGAGAAGCAGGAGCCTGAACCAGCTGAAAAGACCAGTTGGCTCCACTGTGAGAGATAAGGACAGCGCAGTATGTCACTGTCTATTTCAGCGTGTAGCTGTCTCTGTCAGTAACTCAGGAATGCTGCCAGCCCTTTCAAAACCCCAGGCTCCCCCTAGTCCTCTAGAAGCAGCAACTGTCCCAGGCAGAGGAGACCAAAGGCGTCAGTCTGCTCGGCCTGAGTCCCTTCCACACTTCTCTCTACGAGGAGGCTGGCAGTGAGCATCGCATGTCTGGCTTATTCTGTCCTGTCCTGTGTGACGGAGTGATTCCCGGGGAAAGGGCTCAGCCATTTCATATTCGGAGACGCAAACGTCTTTCCCTGCAAGAGCTGAAATGGGCTGCTCTGCTCGTTCTTTCCCACAGGGACCAACTCTCCTCCCTCCCAGCACCCTTCTCCGGGACCCAATTTGCAAAAGAACTGTGTCCCTGGTTCGTATTCTCCATCTTTTGTACTGCTCTTTAATGTACTGATACTTCAGGTTTCTCATAGAGGAGAAACGTGTGCCGGTATCTTCATGGGATCCCCCTCTGGTCTCTCTCTTTGCCCCAAAATACGCTTTTACCAAACAGAAACCCCGCCCACCTGTCTCCAAGATCCTGTGCAAAGGTCGTGTCTCTCCTTTGTTCTTTTCTAATTTCTCTTCGCTCTTCTCTCCCACACCAAATGGGAGCCCTCTCTCCACTGAGAGTATTTGACACGACCCTTTTGAAATAAATGTGTATTATTTCTCCTGTCCCTGACCCACTTGTCCAAAAACTTCATGACTGTTTAATTACATTCCACAAATGCCTTAGGGCTGAGGCTGTGTGGGGCACTGCAGAGAACAGAGCTAAGTTGCTTTCCATTTATTTAACTCACGGCACCTGATTATGACATCGAAACCCACACTCAGACCAAGCTGAGGCCGGGGAGCTGGTCCACTTGCACAGCCCTCAGTAGGCTGCTATTAAAAATATCTTTATCACTTTCTCCATGTATAAAAGTAGAAATGACTCCTTTATTGGAGTATTGTCATAGAACTCAAGCAACCCTGGAAACTAATTCCAACAGACTGTTATTTTAGGCTCCTATAATGCCATTAAAAAATCTCAGCCAAAATGCTTTTTAACTAAAAAGTTATCTACAATTATTCAAACGGAAAAAATACTTGGTGAAAACTTTGGATAATGTTCTAAGAAGGTCAGGAAAAGGTGTACAGTTGCTTTAATATATGAAGTTATCCTTAGCTTCGTCCTATCTTAGAAAAGCAGCGCCGATTGGGGAAAGCACAGGAAATGATGTCATCCGCCAAGCAGCACAGGAACTTGACCCACAAACTGATTTCAATTAGAGCAGCTCATGCCAAGAGCTCATTTCCATTCCCACACGAGCATCAGAGCCATTTAGCTACTCTGAGATTAAAAAGGGGAAAAAACTAACAGTAGCTTAAATAGTGACTTTACATTATTTGTTCAAGTTGAAAATCAGAATGAATTCATCTTTTTCAGGGAGAATGATTAAATTTATTTTAAATGAATAATAGCAATTTTTAAAAACTCCCTTGATATGTTGTTTTATATCTGTGTGTGTGTGTGTGTGTGTGTGTGTGTGTGTATTTTTTTTATTACCCTGTCTTTCAGGTGAACCTTTTTGAGCATAAAATATTTTTTCTCCTTTAAAAAATAAAACCACTCGGTCAGGCTTGTGAAATGATAAGGCATGGCTCCTCCAGTGGTCCACACAAGCCAAGGAGCCATGAATTCTCGGGGGGAGCAAAGTCACCTACGGAGAGGCCCCACCGCCTGCTGGGCCGTGGACATGTCCACCATGAGACTCTCCGAGGCCCTGGGCGTCTCAGCACTCAGGGAAGCAAGCTCTGCATAACGGCAGGAGCCATCCCTCAGGATTTCCACGGGGAAGTGAAGGAAGCAGGTACGGAGCCTCCCTACCCAGGCAGGAGAGCATTCCGCAAGGGTACGTACACCCATCGCTCTTCATTTGGATGAAATCCTGCTGCTGACGCAGTCTAAATTTGACTCTGATCTGAACAAGCCTTCCAGATGTTTCATAAGGAGCAGACCAGGTACTATGTCTCTAGGAAAAAACAGCTGAAAACTAAGGGCTCTGTTTCCACACATAAGGATTCCATAGCCTTTACTGAATGTGTTAAATGCTCCACATCAGAATATATTCCTAAATTCACTCTGTGTTAAGATTTTGGCAGAAATGAAGAACACCAGGCAGATACAGCGCCAATGTGCACAGGCTTCGCTGTGACGCCCAGTTAGCCCTGCGGCCCTAATCCCCTCACGAGGGGCCCCATGTTCTCAACCAACAGAAGACACTGTCATTTACCTCCAGCCATGAAACCTCCCAAATTAACATATGTTCATTTCAGATGTTGGCCAGCCACTGCAGTCTTTCCATCGCCAGGAAGCAAGAAGAGCGGAAGAAACTTTAGATTATGCGCAGCACAAATTAATATCTAAATGTGAGTGCACTCTGGGAATGAAGAGGTGCAGGTACCGACACTCTTCATTTACTGACCAACCTGGTTCGGGCTTCCGACCCTCCGCCTGGACCTATGATGCATCTTTTTTTGTTGTTGTACAGTTCTATACATCTTCTTGATACAGCCTCAATGTCATTTTTTTTGTACAGAACACCTTGCTGGTTGCACTGTACAGTATAGTCCTGTAGTTTTATGATGTTATTCATTACAGTGCTGCATGTAAGAGTTATGCAAATAAAAGCAAACTCACCAAGTTGGAGTTTCCTTTGCCCATTTCTTTATTTGAAAATTGTAATGTTCATACTATATACACTTCCTCTTTTTAGTGGCCAGGGCAATTAGTGACCTAGTCGTGAAATGGAACTCGAATGCATTCCATGGCTACATGAGGAGCATCAGTACCTCTGATAAATAGTGCTCTTGAGATGCGCTAGGTCAGGAATGATTCTAAAGACTGGCCACAAGCTGGCATGAAGAGTTCTGCAAGCACTTTGCAAATAAGCATCTTAATAATGAGCATGAATTTTAATTACAGCATAGGAAAAGCAGAGACCGACAAATTAAACAGGCAGACCAGCTCCTGGACGCTACACCTGTCACAACAATCTGCAGGGACAGGCAGAGTAACTACAGGTCAAAAACCATTTTCATTTGGAGAGAAAACAGCAGTGACATTCCCTTAGTGCGTACATGTCCTAAGGTAACTAAGGATCCATAGCTCAGAAGTGAAATGTCGCTAAATGTGTATCTCAAAAAAACAAAACCTAGCTAAACTGGAAAAGGTTCCGAGAAACTCCAGTTAACTGATAGAAGGGATAAAGATGCTTCCATAGCTGACCAACCAGAAAGCAAAAAACCATCCAACTACTTACTTCTCATGACAGATCTGAGTAGATTCCATGCACTCCTCTCTGACCTGTCCTTATAAATCCCACAGTTCCTCAAAAAGCTTTTTCAAGAGTTACATCTGCCCTGCCTGAGAGACCTCTCTCCTTCTGCCTTGGGATTGCACAACACGCTCTCAAATAGAATTGCTCCTCAGCTTTCTCACATTCTTAGAACTCAGATTTGCGTTCGGAATACAAGTACTCCCAATTCTCACTGAGTTGAAATAAACTAAAAGTCATAAAATTTGAAAAAACTATAAGGCACTACTCAAGATGCCAATATTCTTCTACTTAACATACGGGGGGGGGGGGTTATCATAGTTCCTATAAAAATCCTCAAAGGTTTTACAGATAGACACAAAATCAATCTACAATTTTCATGAAAAGGCAAAGAAACTACAATAGCTAAGATGATTTTGAAAAGGAGGATAAAATGGGAGGAATTAGTCCACCCAATTTCAAGTTTTATCCAGAATGTAGTGAGAAGTGATAGACATATAGGTCAATGGGATAAAATAAAGAACCCAGAGAAAGACTCATAAAAGTACACCCAGCTGACTTTTGATAAAGACACAAAATTAATTTGTGTTAGTCAGCTTTCCATCCCTGTAACAATTACCCCTTATAAGGAGAAAAGGGCTAAATGGGCTCACATTTTGGATATTTCACTCAATGATTGATTGACCCTGATGCCATGTGGCTGCTGGGACTGAGCATACCGTGGTGGAGGCATGTAGGGAGCAAAACCACTCACTTCATGGCAAGGGAGCGAAAGAGAATGAGGAGTGGGCTGGGATCCCCCAGTCCCCTTCAGGAGTGTATCCCCATACCCCAAGAGTGTATGACCCAAAGACTTCCCACTAGTCCTATGCTGGGAAGGGTCCCCCGCTTTCCAAGAGCTCCTCCCTGGCCACCAGGCCTCTAACACACACATGGGCCTTTGCAGGGCATTTAACACCAAGGATATAGCATCGTTCCATGTATAAAAAGACAACTTCTTCAGAAACCAATGGTGCTGGCCTAGCTGGACATCCGTCAGTAGCTACTGAACCTAAACCTAGGTATCAAGCTCAGACCTCACACAAAATTCATCTCAACCTTGTTAGGGATGTAAACATGGGACTGTAAGGCTTCTAGAAAGAAGTTGGAGAAAATCCTTGGGATCTAAGACTAAGCAAATCATTCTTAGGCTTGACATCAAACACATGATTGAGTAAAGGAAAATATGGATAATTAGACTTCACCAAATTAAAAAACATTTGCTCATGAAAGATCCCACAAAAAATAGGAAAAAACAAGCTAAAGAGTGGGAGGAAAAGTTAGCAAATCACTGATCTAACAAAGAGCTCGTACGTAGAATCCATAAAAAGCTCCCGCAACTCAGTAGTAAAATAATACACAGTACTATCAGACTCTGGACAAAAGGCACAAAGAGACATTTCACCAAAAAAACAAATGCAGGTGGCAAATAAGCACAGGAAAAGATGTTCAACATTACTGGCCACTGAGGAAATGCAAATGAAAACCACGCTCAGTGCTACCACGCAGCTCAAATTCATCAGAAGAGCTAACATCAAAAATGGTGGCAGTGACAAAAAGTAGTGAGGATGCAGAGAAATGGGGACCCTGATGCACCTCGGAAGAGAATATATCACAGCACGGCCTCACCAGAAACCCTGCCACAGTTCTTAGAAAGCCAAATATGCAACTGGCATACAACCTGGAGACTGCATTCCTGGGCATTCCTCCCAGGCAAAAATGAAGACTTGTGTTCATATAAACAGCTGTATGCAAACATTCCTAGCAGCTTTATCTGAAGAACACACACACACACACACACACACACACACACACGGAAACGGGAAACAAACCAGGGGCTCCCCCGAAGGTGGACCGCTGAGAAACTGCGCCACGCCCGCTGCAGTCGCGCTATGTGGCAATGCAAGGCCCGCACCCTGGATGCACCAGCAGCCTCAGAAGACAAAAGATGTAGAAATGGAGAGGAGGGCAGTGGTTGGGAGGATGGAGAGGGCATGGGGCGGGAGGAGAATGACCCTAAAAGGGTACCATGAGGCGCCCTGAGGCGACGGAAGTGTCTCTGTTTTGCAAGGCGCCATCCGGGAAGACCTGGCAAAGGCTGTGTGCCCAGGCCCCTCCATGGGACTCCTGGTAACTGTTTGCAAGCGCAGCATTAGCCCAAATATGAAATGTCATTTAAAAATCCCTTTTAAAAATGTAGAAAGTAAAACAGGGTGAGCATAAAGTGGATTCCCAAATTCTAAGATACAAAACACGGGACTCGAATTTTACACTAACACATTATCCATAGTTGCATATGTTATGCTGCTATGAATGCCGGCGTCCCCCCCAATTCATTTGGTGAAGCCCAATGTGACCCTAATATTAAAGCGGTGGGGCCTTGGGGCGGGGACCAGGCCCCCAGAGGTAGGGTTGGGCCCTTCTGACAGGGCCCCAGGAGCGTGTCTGTCCCTACCGGGTGAAGGGGCACAGAGGGCGCCATCCTCGAGGAGCAGGCCCTCCTCAGACACGCAACTGCTGGTGCCTCCAGCTGGGACCCCCAGCCTCCAGGACTGTAAGGAACAGATGTCCATCCAGTGCTTATAAACTGTGCGGTTCAATGTGTTTCGTTGTAGCGTGGGAATGGTCGAAGACAACATGCAGGATTGGAAAGTTTGTTACTCCCCGTATGAGTATAGGTAATCGTGCCAGTGCACACATGGCTAAGAAGAGCTTGAGTAAATCCAAGGGCAGTAACTAGGGTAGAGCTCCTGAGACCAAGGACTCCTCAGGACCCCGCCCAGCCTCAGATGCCGACAGAGGAGACTCCTAAATAAGCGCTGGGATGGAAGTCTGGAAAACCCTCTGTTCTGAGCCTGATCCTTCTTTTGCCCTGAGTCTCAACGACCAACATCAAGGGTAGCACCAGACCAAAGGGAAGCCATGTCTTCCTGCAGTCCGAAAACTGCTGGGGGGGAGCCTGAAACTCCTGCAAATGCAGCCTCTCACACAGGTCACGAAGAGATTATCCTCTGCTCTCAGAGGTACAGGATTTTGAGTCAAAACCCACCTCAAGGAGAGCCTTCCTTCCATTCTTTCCCTTTTTTCCCCAGTACTGAGAATTGAACCCAGAACCTTTGTACTGAGCTACATCCTCACTCTTTTTTATATTTTATTTTGAGACAGGGTCTTGCGAAGACTGGGCTCACACTTGTGATCCTCCTGACTCAGCCTCCCAGAGTGCTAGGACTGCAGGCGTGCGCCACTGCCCCAGTTTTTCCAGATGAGAGCACTAAACCCCTCAGAAGTCCACAGCTCGCCAGGCCTCCTTCACTCTATCACACAGCAGATATGAATTTTTCACACCGAAAGATGGTGAAATGACCTTAGCTCACCCCATTTATCAGAGCAGGAAGTGAAGGTGAACATTTCACTGAGGTGAGGCTGTCCTTCTCCGGTAGGAGGGTCATCAAGCCATGTGTCCATACACCTCGCTGTTACCAGAAAGCTCCACAGAGTGGTACAACCGTTCCCTGAATGCCACGGCGAACAGCTGGAAAGGAATTCCGGTCACCTGAGCTACCCTTAATGTTAGACGTTCTGCCATCCTTAATTTTGCAAGCTGTGCAGATAATACTAGTTCAAAGGAGTGGAAGCTAATAATTTTAAAGGGTCCAAACTCCTCCAAGACCCAGGTGAAATCAGGCTCTCCTCTTACACCACTCTCACCTGCAAGCTACCTGAGGACTGGCCAACAGCCAGGTATGAGATGAGACCCAGATTTCTTCAGAAAGAACCATCCACAAGCCTTGGACTTTAGTCTCTAGGTTAAAAATGGCCTAGGGCTGGGCATTTGGCTCAGTGGTTCCGACGCCTGCCTCGCAAGTGCAAGGTCCCGAGTTCGATCCCCGGTACCCCCCCAAAAAATGGCCTCAGGCCTCAGCAGTCTTCTCCTCCCACCCCATGGCCAGACTGAAGTACTCGAAGCCCATGGCTTTCCCTCCGGTCTTGTTTCACGTCCTGTCCCCTTATCTCGTGATTTTTACTTGGCAGAGAAGTCCTGAGCAGTGCACACTATCACTAAAGTACTTTCCAGCAGGAAACCCAGTTTTGCCACCTGCTATATTTTCTTGCAGTATTAGTTAGTTCGTGGGCCAATCTGACTGAGAGATGGGCTCATTTCCAACTTGATATCTGCACTCCTTGCCTGCCCCCATTCTCTTTCAGTGGCAGCTTGGAGGTCTTCCTGGTAGAGACCCAGATGCCCCACATGTGTCTGAAAGTGTTGCCAGCCGCTTCTCACCCCCTTTCTATTCCTCCAGCTCGGGTCCCTTCGCTGGGCACCCTGAACCTGCTGCTCTTGGAGGACGTACATTCAACACCAAGCTGAGCTGCAGTAAGAATAGGCTACACTCAGTGTAATACACAAGACTCCCTAGCCCCTGGAGGGATTTCTATCCCCATGGAATACCAGCTGTATTTAGTCCTTGGGTTCTACCCAAAGAAGATTCTGAGACAGTTCATTCAATGGAAGTAGTTTGTTTTGAAGTAATTCCAGAAGTCACCAGTAGGTGAGTGGAAAGTAAGAAGGAACACAGAGGAAGCTAATGAAGTGCACTGTCCTGTTTACTATTGCTACGGGTAATGAGGGCTCCATCTCAGTAAGGAACTTCAGGACACAATGCAGAACCAATTTCATGGTTACCAAACTCACAGGCAATGAGCCTGGGGCACTTTCCCAGTAACTCTCCACCTGGCCTTGCTTAGACCTCACCTCTAGATCCAGCAACCCCACAACCCTCCAGCACTTCCGACTTGCCCTAGACCTAGGCCTGGCCTAACCCCTGGTCAGAAAAATCTTGCAAAGGTCTCTGAAAGAGTCCCCCGTGTTTACCAAGGGTAGTGAGTGGGCCCCAAGAGGGTATTCTAGACAGGACAACTCTCCCTGTCTTGCTCATTGGCTGATGAGAGCCACATTTAAATGCCAGGACTCTCAACATAGAACAAATCTCGACACACTCTACCTGCGCCAGACGGAAGAGAACATACTTACTCCACGATATTGTTCCTCATATCTTGCCAAGAGCACTGTTAACCAGATAGAGTTTTCTCAAAAGAAACCAGACATGGAAAAGGAACCCAGATTTTTCTGCCTTGGTGAAGGCCGAGGAACTGAGGGGCTGTTTATATGGAGAACTTCAGTTTTTTAAACAGTCGATAATGACTCATGTCCCCCTTCACAACCCCCGAATGTCCCTAACTTACTACTGTGGACACCACACTGGCAGGGACAAAACAGAATAAGCAAGCACTGATTCTTTAGAAGAAACTGTGGCTTTTTCTATGGTATCACAGGATAATGACCGTAGAGCAAAGTGGCAAAATTCTGGACAGGAAAACATGTTTGTGCTTCATGATAAATCATTCCCAGAAACTGCCATCATGACTCTTACATTTTCTTCTTGCAAAGGCAGGGGTCTTGAGTTTTAAATAAGTTTTTAATCAGATTCATATTCCAGTACCACATGGAAAAATGCCTGGTATTTTTGAGCCAAAAATGTTCATTAAATAATCATTTTATTGAGCACCTTTTATGGTGTTTATGTTGGAGATATAAAAATGACTAAGGCGATACCTATATAGCCAGTAATCGTTATATGATTCTGCTAACTATGCCCTGTAGGTAATTTTCCCATAAGGAATGAAGAAGGGAAATGAGAGTCCAGATCAAGAAAAGCCTTTCCAAGTATTTTGGGCAAAGCAGACAAGACAGATGTTCTAGTGAAAAAATGTATTGCAGGCGAAGAGAAAAGCCAAAAGCAAATTTAGGAGAAAATAGGGTATAACCATATAAAATAATATTCTATATAATGACATGTTAGACTCACTGGATCTCGAGCCGCAGGAAGGGGCTATCTGACCAGATGGACAAGTGCACATATTTGGCCTTGAACAGAATCCGTCCCCACAGGAATGCCGGCAAATGGCTGTGGATAAAAGCAGACGGCTGTTAGCAGAGTCAGCACACGGTCGGCTACAGGAATGCGGTCCTCCACGAGGAGACCTGGGTCTCAGCCTCCGCACTCACTTCCCACCCTGACTTAATGACCGGAAGCCCCAGGTGCACACCGAGTATGCAGGACAAGCGCTCTAGCTCTCAAATCAATCGGGAGCTCCCTACCAGCTTAGTGGCTTGAAACTTTTCTTGGCTTATTCAACAGCACTGCGTTAATCTAACAAAAGCCCGGGACAGGCTACGAAGAGAAAACAAAAATGAACAAATAAAAATCTGGCATCTGAACATACTTCTATGCCTAGAAGAACTCTCTCTATAGTAACTTTAGGATTTAAGGATTCAAAATTGGCAGCAAGTCTTGGGAGACATTTTTTATTTAATTTTTGTCCTGAGTTAATTTTTGTGCTGAGTTACAGTGACAGCCCAGGAGGAGAATGTGGAACGAGTCCACCGCCCTCGTTCTGATTCTGCAGTCAGAAAGCCATTCAGCTGTTAGAAAAAGATTAACACTTTCGTGCCACCCAGAGGCCAGTGGTTGCTGGAACCAAATATTCTGCGAATGGCCAGAAGAGTAAGATTAAATGACACATGATTCATGTTTATCAGCAGATAAGATCTGATCACCTCTCTTTTTAATCACTGGCAACCTCCTCCTTCGATTCTTAGCTCACCTTGTAAGAGGCAAACTTGCAGCACAGGGCTAAAGTAATACACTGGGTAGAATGAACATTAAAGCATCAGAAGAGCTCGTGATGGGGATTGGAAAACATTATGAAATAAGCTGTCCAAAAAGCCCATAAACATTTATTTCAGTGTCTGAAGATAATATTTCTTAAACAGAATTCTTCAGAACACTGGGATAGGTTTCTGTTGTCAAGCTCATTAAGAAAACTCCAAATAGCATTAGATCCGCCTCTCAGTGATCTTAAGATATACCATGGTGTGCCAGAAGAGTAAAATGCTTTCTGGTCAAAATCCAGAGTTGGGAATGGGATTGACTTTTTAAGGTCAGCAAGCAAATACTCCTAAAAGAGCCCATTCTTCTCCGCAGACCACTCTCAGCAGCGAGTCGGAAGTGGACCAGGTGATTCCTCAATGCCTTTCAGCTCCAACCACCTCCCTTCTACTAAAGGAGCTTTCTGAAAACGGAAGCTCATTTCACAGATGCGATGTCTAGAAAAGTCCACTGGGCAGGTGCCCTAAGTACTCTGACATGGGCCTCCATGAAACAGCTCCTCGTTCCCACACGTGACTTGTCATTGACATTCTCTCATGAGAATCTGGAGGTTTGACACACTGCAGAAATCAACCAAGGAATCTCAAGTGGCGCCAAAGTTCTCCCCTAGCCTTCCCCTTCCTTTCTCCCCTAAGAGGCGCTTCAGCTTCGGGCCCTGATTGCCCAAATTTAGTGTGTGTGGTCTGGGACGCCTATGGCCTGCTGCAGCTGGCCAGCAAAGTTAGACATTGCAATAAGGACATCAGCAATGACACCTTTTCTTCTCAAAATGTCATGGACGTGATGGCGCAATCTATGCAGGGAGGTACAGCATAAGCAAATGACACAGAACCTTGATCAAAGTGTCCCATGGCTCTGTTCTCCGTACCTCAGAAGCATTATAAAGGAAGTTCTGAATTAAGATGCAAGGCTCTGATAAAGCTGATGGATTTCCCAACCTGGACTGAGAAAAAGTAGGGAAGCCATAGGTCTGGAAGGCTCAGCCACACACATGTGAGCAGCACATGGCTCCAAAGGCCATTCTGAGGAATGTCACACACCCAAAGCAACACCAAAGAACACCCGGAACGACAGGTCGCTGGTGTACTTACGGACGATACACTGATTTCCCCCAGGTAAGGTCTTCCATCCGGGACAACAGTAAGCACTAAAATGTGATCCGCAGACATTGGGCCTGAAACAAAAACACAGAATTCCATACATTTTTTAAAGAAAAAAGGATATGATAAAATGAAAGATGAAAAATATCTGTAAGTTATAAAGCAGAATGAACCCTGGCAAACAAAGAGAAGTAAAATCACTAGCTTAGTGATTTGGGATAATTTAACACAAAGACACCAATAGGGATTTTAATATCATCTAGGCATACAGTGAATCAGGAAGATAAAACCCAGAGATGCAAAATATAGTGCATTCTATTGCAATGCACAGATGTAAAAGTTCAAGGAGCCATGAGTATAATTCAAACAACAAACTTTCTACCAATCTGGTAAGAAAGATCATAATAGATCTACTGGGTGGTAAGATTTTAAATGTCTACTCTTCGAAACTGTACCTCCCCCTCCCACGGCCCAGCTCTCTCCTAAAATGTTACCACATTCTCCCTTACTCCAAAATTGCAGGAATGCAAATTTTAACATCAGTCAGAAAAAGTAAAGTTCAAAACGTGTAAATATTTCTTTAGCAAAAGTTTGGAAATGCAGTTGATTTCAGCAGTTCCATGAAAATAAAATCAGTGTTAATCTTTTTACAGACAGCTCATTATGGGTCTTGGAGCGAAGCCTCCATTCAGAATCCAGATGATCTATATTTAACGATCTCAGGGAGCAATTTCAGGTAAAGATCTAGCTACTCCAACTCTGGAAACTAAGACAGAAAGAGCATACAGAGACCCAAAGGAAACCATTCATTTTGCTGTGCTACGTCCTTGAGCTTAAACATCGGTGCTAGTCGTCGAAGTTCGGGGGCCATTAAGGAAGGTCAACAGTTTTGCAATCAATTTCACAAGCTAGAAAATATTCCAAGGCTTGCTAGTATAAACAGTGTAGTCCCACCAGCACAAGCCTATAAACCACAGCTCCACAGCTAAAAGCTAGCTCTCAGTTGGGGTGCACTCCCACATTCTCTCTCCATGTGGGGCCACAGGAAATAACTCCTCTGAACTCTCCTCAGAGTCAAGCAGGACTTTGCCCTGTCCCTTCTCTTACAGCCCCAGAGTACCCAGAACTCTCAACAACCCGCAATGCCCACTTCAGGTTGACTGAGAGAGGCTGAGGTCAGAGGAGAATTCAGAGGAAAGATGGGGGAGAGCAGAGAAAGGACTCTAACTCCATGCTCAACAGCCAGGGGCTTCTCCAAAGCTAGAGGGGAAATGACTAGGTAGTAACACTGCAGGACACGACCTCAGGGTCTCTCTGAGGCTTAATTGAGAGGTGGTCCTCTTTAAATCTAGACACAGAGGTACAAGTGTAGTAGGTGATGCTATGCAGACAGACACGAGAAGAGCTAAGAGCAGAAATGGTCACGACTCCCTGCTTTAAGAGGTGAGGGCCTGGAAAGCTATCCATCTTTAAATGTGTGCTCTTATACTTTGATCATTGTCTTTTATTTAAAGCAACATTCTTTTTAAAGCATGAGTTATCTTTTAGGCAGGATGCCTTTAAGCTTTCATTAGGATACCACATTTTCATTTCTGTACATTTCTTAAAGTGCTCCATAATTTCAAATTGTGATGTAGTTCGTGACCTGACTTTTTGTGTTTTATACATGTATTCTTTATAATGAGTAACACAGTATTAAAGTGTGATTGTTTCAAACCACAGCATCACATGACAATGATTGTTTTACTCTCCTTGCTGTTCGCTTATTCTTTAGTATCATTTAATGTTACTACATCGTGTGATCCAATGGTAAGTATCAGCAAGAGGCAGAGTCTCCCATGCTGATTTTGGTCTGAGCAGACTGTCTGGACAAGTCAGGTGGCATTTCTTCTACTTACACAGAAAAAAAAAATAGCTCTAATTCTGGAAATAAATGAATGTCTTATTTAAGTTGGAAAGCAGTAAAATATGTAAAGCCTAATGCTATTTTTTTTTTTTTGGTACTGGGGATCAAACTCAGGTCCTTGCGCTTGTGCAGCAGGCAGCGAAACCACTGAGCTAAATCCCCGGCCCATGGATTTTTTTTTTTTTATTATAAAGCATTTTATTCTAAGGGTTCAGTCCAAACAGCATTTACAAAGCAGACCATTTTTTTTAATAATGTCACACTTCTGGGTACATGAAAGTGTACCTTTCACACCACTTTCTCGTTCCTCTCTCTGCATCAGCCATCTCCACCACCCTACCCCCCCCCTTAAAAAAAGATACAGTAAAGAAAATTGAAATTCAAAGGGAAAAGAGCTTTTGGCTAAGTGCTAAAGACAGGCAACTCTATTTCATCCTCCCAGCAGCTCCTGGAGGAAAAGTCCATTGTTCCCACCTTTCACCCAAGGAAACTTTGGCCCAGGAAAGAAAGCTGCACTAAGAGTCAAGAACCCCTAGCTGAGAATAAATCCTTAACAGGGATTTGAACTCAGGAAGCCGGACTCCAGATTCCATTCCCTTAACTGCCATGTTAGGGCAAAGACATATTTAGAGGTCAAGATGGTAATTTCACCCAACAGCATTTGTGGTGACAGCAGTAACCTAAAAAGAAAATCACACAATGTCCACACACAGACCTTGAAGCATAAGTTGGTTTACTCTACTCTAACAGTCAGGACTGCGTTCATATTCCACCTGACCCTGTGTGACATTCATTGAATAGCTAAGTCTTCGCCCGTACCTGCCCTGCCCCTTTGTGCTCTGCGACAGCACAACTCCGCCAGGGACTGGCAAGCCTCCCCAGTCTGCATCATTGGACCTAATTCAGACATAGCTCTCGGAGCTCATGTGGCTCCCTAAAGCCATTCTCTGTGCAGCAGCATCTGACGCATGGCGGGAACAACCCGGGTCTCTGGAATCAGAGTCTGCAGGGCCCACATTCCTTAGCCAGAAGCCACTTCTACAAGCCTGGCCTCTCCTCAGCAAGACAGCCTGTCTGCCTCCCTCTGAGTGTAAAGCCCTTTTTGGGCAAGGTTAAGGTAATACAAACAAGGTCCCAGGCTCTTATTTCCTATGCAAGGGTTTTCCAGCCTGTGAAGTGATTAGATCCTTAGGCAAGCAAACCAGTAAGCATCCAGGCTAATGAGGTCCTTCCTTCTCTGAGCTCCCTCTATTTTAACTTTTGAGGGAAAAATCACTAGGAAGCCCCCTGAGAATAAATGTGGAGGGGTATGGAAAGGTGAATGTGCACACATAACAAGGCACCCCGAGCTCTGATGTGATGCACCCCAAGGTAACAGCTTATTATCCGGCTCTGCCAGTCGAAATACTTTTTCCTGTGGAAGCTGTGACAGACTGTGGAACATTTATGATACCCAAACGAGCTCTAAACTGTTTACCACACATGATGTTGTTTGTTCACTGACAAATTTTATCAAGATGAAAAGAAAATCCAGTAAGTACTACTTGATGAAGGGGCCCATAGGACTTCAACAAACTTTCCAAATCCCTCCTCCCCTTATTCTAGCCCCTTTATTCCAACAAAGGCAGGGGCCAGGTCTCTCCACAGGGATCCGCATTCCATGTGTGACTGTGCAGGCTCATCTGCCAGGCACAACTCCGGAATGACACTCCAAACCCTGGGGATGGTCAGCTTCCGTGGGCTTCTCAGGGTTCTGCTGGTTTCATCCACACCAGAGGCTCATTTCTGGAGGGTCTGGGTCAATTGGCTGGCTGGGACACACTGGTGGGACACTCCCGGCTTCCTACTTCCAGCAAGCCAGCCTCTCTACCCAACCTCATGCCATTGTTCTTAATAAAGATAATCTTCAAAAAGGACAGAGCAAATAGTTCAGATTCTGGTTTTCAAGAGCTTCATCCCCCTTCCTGCTTTCTCCACCACCAATGGATTAAAGGCTCCATTCTCTTCTCCTCCAGAGCCGTGCTGTCTTTTCTCTCTCCCTCTTTCCTTTCCTCCCTCCCCTCCTCATCTCTCCTCTCTCTCCTCTCCTTTTCACCTCTTTCTCTTTTCTTCTTTCTGTGTAACCAGCAAAATCACAGCCACACATGCAATGGGTCTATGACTAATCAGCCGCCTTGTCTGCAGCACAGAGCCATTCAGTAACATTTAAGAGAACCTAGTTGGTGCTCTGCACCAGGCTAGATAAGAAACAGTAGCGACTCCCACAAGCACAGCTAATGCCCTGGTCTTGGTTTCTATACCACTTTCCTCAAAAGGAGCCAAAACTCGTGGGAGAAATGACTGCTGGGTTTTGACAGAGACACAGGAGCCAACTGAACAAACTCTCAATGCCCAAAGCTAGAACTATTTGAGCAAGAAAATAACCAAAGTGGCACTGGATTATAACCCACAGTAAAAAGATAAATACCCATGAGTTCACATGATACATAAATAATCAATGTATGAATGGGAGACAAATCTGGGCTGGTAAGTCACAGAGCTGGGTGCTCTGCCTCCAAGGAGATGAAGAGATGAAAGTGGAGCCCCAACTCTTTGGTCTTTTTCCCAAAATCCATAATCCCAGTCTAATCAGGACAAAACATCAAAGCATTCCCATGAATGGGCATTCCACAAAAACGGCTCCCTAACACACCTCAATACTCTCCTAGTCATCAAAAACAAGGAAAGCATAGCCAGGGATTTAGCTCAGTGGTTCTGCTGCCTGCCTCGAAAGCAAAAGGTCCCAAGTTTGATCCTTGGTACCAATAAAGAAAAACAAAAACAAGGAAACCCTGCAAAACTGTTTATAGCCTAAGGAGTCATGACAACTAAATGTAAGTTGGTATCCTGGATGGGATCCTAAATATTCACTGGGCAAAAACCAAGACAGCAGGAATCAAGAATGGACTTACATAAATAACTACATCAACATTGGTTCATTAATGGTGACAGATGGAACCACGCTTGCAATAACGGACATGCATTCATGCCCTCCATCCACCCCACACACTAGAAAGCGAGGGGATCAGAAAGCTGCAAAGGCAATTCCCCAATGTGGGGCTCACTTCGCACTGACAGACACCCTCCATCCTGTTAGAATCTTTTATAGGTGACTGGAATGCACGCATG